GAAATGTGTCCTAGCGTCTGTAAAAAACTGTATTAGGAGGAAGGAGCTCATGTCTAAGTTTCTACCCAAAGCTTTGATCTTTTCTAATGAGTTTGTGTTTTGGTTTTAGTTTATTTTCACTCAGTTTACAGAGTGGTTTTGCTCATTGTGTTGTGTAGTTAATGTTTAAATTTCATTAGTGTCAGTGTTGTTTGTGTGTTTTTAATGATTATAAGGAGGCTGTTTGTCAGCCTCTTCAGCCTGATTTCCCTAAATGAACTAACAGACTAAAACTAAGGACATTAGTTTTATAAATACACAATTTTTTTCCAATTTTTTTTCAAGACACTAAATGTAATTTTAGGTAACTGCAAGGTTATTTTAAAAAATATTTTTCCCCAAACTGTTAACTTTGCCTCACGGTCTCTGAAATGCATTTCCTTAAGCAGTACTTCCTGGCAGAAGTCTTTAAGGAAGTCAGGATTTTAAGCAGTGAGTCACAAACTTGAGCTGAAGTACAAAATTAACAAGTTTGGGCTTGAAGTGATCTCAATCAGCACCTTTTTCAAATAGAAACAGTGCTCCTTGTGCCCTGCTTGCTCCTGATCTTGTGATGTAAAAGACTTTATCATCCCTTTTTGGATTTCAGCGACTCATAAAGATCATTGACAGTAGAAGATCAAAGAAAGACAAAGCTCACAGGCCCAAGTTGAGAAAAATGCATATACCTTCCAGTTTATTATGTCCATAATGATGACATAATGTTTCCATCATGCAGAGTTTTCAGGCATTAGATAAAATGACTGTGGTGTCGAAATTGTCTCACTTCTGAGCTGGGAACAACCTTGTAAACTAATAAATGTGGTTTTCAAACTTCAGGTTCCAAACAGCTTCTCCCCAGACTTGGTAATAAGTCCAGTCCAGATGAAGGATGCTGGTTTTTACATCTGCAGAGTCAACTGTGGAGATGCCTTTGAGTTCAGCCACTGGGCTCAGGTGGATGTCCTGAATGTCACCTTGTGTTACGGTAAGATTGTGCAGGTTTATATTCAGTAGATCTGTCCAAAAATCATATTCAGTTAAGGTGATGTTTGATGTTACAGCTCTGATTGTTAATATTTAACATCTCTGGGCTTTAGGAGTTGAATTACATCACTGTCTATATGCTGTCCGCTGTGTGGATAGAAGAAATTCACCTCATGAGCCATGACAAAAACTGAAAGAGACACAGTTTAAATTAAAAGTATTAACTGAAAAGAGGTTATGAGGTCAGTGTTGTCAGCATCTCAGCAGGTGGAGTTAAAATGGTGAGTGTAAGAACGGGGATTGGGAACTCAAGGGCCGGTGTCCTGCAGGTTTTAGATATCATCCTGGGTCACCACATCTGAATCAAACAATTAGTTCATTACCAGGCCTGTGGAGAACTTCGAGACATGCTGAGGAGGTAATGTAGCCATTTAAATCAGCTGTGTTGGATCGAGGACACATCTAAAACCTGTAGGACACTGGCGCTTGAGACCTGGAGTTCCCCCACGCCTGGTGTAAGGTGTTGTACTATGCAAAACTATATTAAAAGGTTGAAGCAGGCAAAACAAGTAACACAATGCTGGGTAGATAAGAGAGAGAGAGGGATACAGCTCAAATGCTGGAAACTGACCAAGTGCTCCCATTTGCATTGATTGACTCCGCCTACCAAAAAACCTCCAAAAACACATCAACTCTGGCCAAGACAGGAGGGCTGTCATGAGTTCTTACTGTTAGAGAAAGGGCCTTTTTTGTAGAGCCGTTGGTAATCTTATCTCCAGTTAAAGCTAAAACATTGAAGTTTCTTTAGCAGCGTTTGTGAATGGCTTTAGCGTGATGCAGAAGTGATTTTGTAATTCCTGTGGTTAATTGCTGTGGTTATTAGCATAAATGCGCTAAATATTAATTCTGCGCTACAGCTGCTCAGCCAAGAATCTCAAGAATCTAGCGTGTGTGCGAATTAGCGCGGTGTTAAACACTGCACTCTTGTTACATCACAATTGTTACAGATTAGTTATAAGACCAAAAGCTCTTGTCTATTCAATGCAAAGCAGCAGTGATTGACAGTTTGTTGTTATATTGTTTGGATAGCAGGCGAAGTATTTCATAATCCAGAGCCACGCCTGCTGGTACACATCTTGAATGTGTGGTACTAGAGAAGAAGTTTAAGTGTGGAATTTAAATCCTCAAAAAAGGACCAGTGACTGTGATCGTTCTGACCTGATGCCTTGCAGTGTGCGCTAGCTATATACTGTGCACATAGCTAGCACACTTGCAATATTTAATACATATGCTCTTCAGATGTTTGTCTTTTATGAGTTTTTGTTTTACTTCCTTCCAGCTACCCTGTGCTCCTGTGCTTGGAATATGAAAATAACATGGATGCTGTGACGAAGATGTGGCCTTATTGCTCAAAGCTAATAAATGGCACACTACAAGCTTTTGTCACTGTAAAATAGCTTTGCCTGATTTGGTTGACTGTTAATAAAAATAACTTTCCCAGCTAACCTATATCCCTCTTTGAGGACAACAACCAACAGTTGCAACCTAATAATGTACTAGTAATTAAATAACATAAAAAACGGTATGCAAAATCTTGCAGTTTACACAATTAATCAGAAGTTTCTTTCTTGGTGTTGTGTACAAAGGTTTTCTCCAGTATTCCAACATTTTATTCTGACTTTATGTAGATTTTCTCCATTGAAAACAAATGATTCATCACTGAGATATTGTTAGTGTTTGAAGCTCACTGACCTCAGTTTCCTGTTCTTTGTCTGAACAGGACTTGTTTATTTTTGCGGGACCTGAAACTCTGTCACTTTTTCCAGCTCAAATGGGAATCCTTTAACGGATGAAGAATACGTTATGCAGTGCTGTGTGTAATTGTCTTCTTTCCTCATATCATCAGGGCAGAGTTATCACTTTTTAGATGGTCGACAAAAGGTGGTGATCCAGCCTCAGTCCCAGCGGCTACATGTTGGGGAAGATTTGCAGCTGGAATGCGGAGCCGTGGGACGGCCGATTCCTCGATACCAGTGGCACAGAAATGGAGTCCCAATTCCGAATTCTACAAAGAGGAAACTTATGGTGAGAGGATATGGGAAGAAATGTTTTTCTTTTATTGCTTGTGTGTGTGTGTGCGTGTGCGTGTGTGTGTTTTGAGACATTAAAACTGTTGTGGCATAACTGTGTGTATATTTCAGATTCCTCACGTGATGCAGGAACAACAAGGCAGATATCGCTGTGAGATCAGCAGCAGCTCTGAGAGAATGTGGACCAATGAAGTTGATGTTGTGATAGGTATGTCACACTTGAGGACATTTTGTTTAAAATTACTATTGAACCAGTTTCATTGTCATCATATTTGAGCGATTATTTGCCTCTGTTCTTAACTGAAAGCACCAAGGATATCAGTCCAGATTTCAGGGGCAATGGAGTGCTCTGAAGGTAGAGTTGAAGGCACTGGTGCATGGTGTTTTAAATTGGGTAACAGTTAGCAGGTGTTAGCTGCATGCGAATGGAAATCACAACTTCATTCAGATTGCATGTGGATCGTGGTCTTGGATTATTCTCACTAATCAGCACAAAACTCACATGCATGCTTTCTGATTGTACTAAAATCAATCCTTCCTGTCATCTTTAATGCATTTCATATTTATCTGTGGTACTTACTGAAGTGATCCAATTCAACCACTCATCGTGTTTCTCTGTCTGTGTGACAGAGCTCGATTGCTGTATGGGGGAAAATTTCTACAGCACTAAGTTGTGGTTACGTGTCCATTACGTGTGATGATGACTGTTGCAGTCCCACACTCAGCATCCTTTGACTGTTACAAATACTCACAAAGAAACATTTAGACCACCAAATAGTTTCTGTGTATCATTCTTTTGTTTTTTCAATTATTGTGGTTTTTGTGGCTCTGTGGGTCATGCTAATTTTGTACTCTCTACTTCAGTTGTAGAGATTGAGGGGAACTAGGAGTGACATGACACAGTGTTTGCTACTGCGGGGGAAAAAAAACAACCTACGAGCTTCCAGCATCATTTAAAAAGTGTTTACTCATTTAAACAAGTTGTTTTTCTGGCCAGCTTGGAAGTAAAAAAAAAAAAGAAATCTGTGTAAAAATGTTTCTGAAACACATCATTTAAATCCAGTGGTGTAGTATCCCACTCTGGACCACTATGAGAACAGTTGCAAGCCATTTTAAGTTGAATGCTCAGTCACATTTATTTGAGCTGAATCAGAGGGGAAAATATTACTTAAATACTGAAACAATAAATGCTTTTTGCTCACTGTTTCATGCATCTGTTTGCTTCCCCTGAATCTCTGTAGAGTCTATAAATGAAATGTAGACAAAGAGCAGACTGATCGTGTGTCCTTGTGCACAAAGAGATGTTAGCAGATTACCTCAGTGTTGGTTTTGGTCTTTTCTTTCTTATTAATTCTGAATATTATTACTATTACTTTTATTACTATTAAGTTTCACCCTTTCCTTTAACTAATCAGTTTTGTACACTAAACTTGAGTGATAATGATATTTTTTTTCCCTAGATGACATTTACGCCATTGGAGAAGGTAAGAGGAACCACGCGCAGCAAACACAGACATCAAATATTTCTCTTAAACAGCACTTCCTATGTTATACTTGGCTTTGTGTTGACTTTCTTGTTGTTTTTTAGGTTCCAATGAATTCTTCCTAAACAGTATTCCTGAACAACTTTATGGTGAGTGTCTTTATGCAGGACTGATGGCTGGTGCACAGTTCCTCTACTTTGCATGTGCGATACTACTGCGATCAGTTTCAGTCTCAGTACTTACGCCAACACAAAGATGTGAAACCTTCTTGTAGCACAGTGTTAGCAGCCACACACAAGGACAAAATAACACTTTGCAGCATCATGCACTAAACACCAGAGAATAACACCCACTAAAAAAAGCTACTCACCAAAAAAGGAAAAGCTTCACAAAAGGCTGGCGTGTTTTATGACATCAGCGTGATAATAATGTCACTGTTGTATGAAACACTTCCTTCCTTCCTCCCTCCCTCCATTTCTTGGTTATTATGATTCTTATCATCTCTACCTCAGTTTCTAGTTTGTGCAAACAATGAACCGCAAATGCTGTGAATGTATGTAAATTTCCCGTTTCTTCTGATGGATGTTTTTCTTGCTCTAACATGTACTGTGCAGCCATGCAAAAAAAAATAGGAACTGCCATTGGAAATCATTGTTTATTGTAGTCTAACTGAACAAACGATCCTGTGCAAAACAGTACCAGCAGATTTACTCAAATAAGGACAGGAAAAAAACATGGACTTTGTTGTCATTTACATGATATTAAAAGTAAGCAAAGCAGATGAGTCGTATGTGGGGAAAAAAGGAAAGCCCCTGCGTTATAACACCTTTAAACCGATACTACTTAACGTCATGTTCCAGTGAACTTTGCCTTTGTTCTGATGTTCGCTACACACCTGTAAGGTTTCATAACTGGATTTTGCACCGTTGTCACACATGTCATTTTATTTTTCAGTTATTTTCTGTTTCCACTTCACTTTCCAGTTCTGAAACCATGTATGTCATTGATTTTTGGATGGTATTCCTTTTATTACATTCATCATTTTCTCCCTTTCATGTGTTTGGTCCCAGCAACTGACAAAGTGGCCCTGCTGATCGGAAACCTGTCTTACCAGAACCACCCGCAGCTTAAAGCTCCAATGGTGGATGTTTATGATCTCACTAACCTCCTGCGGCAGCTAAACTTCAAGGTGGTTTCGCTACTAGACCTCACAGAGTCAGAGATGAGAAATGCTGTAGATGAGTTTCTACTGCTGCTTCACAAAGGAGTCTATGGTACGTTTGCATTTGACTTACCTCTGAGCGGTTTGGACCATTGTTTCAGCCCAGAAGGTGACAGAAATATACGGATCCCAAAACACAGCATGAAAGAGAAACACTACCATTTTAATCCTTCTAATCTAAGCATAAACAATATTTAGATAAAATAAGAAAATATAAATGAATGCATAGCATTTTCAAGATTATTTATAACTTAACAAATGTTATTCTAATTAAATAAACATTAAATAACAACAGTAAAAAAAAGCTGTATGCAACCAGATCTTGTATCTCTCAGCTGCCTGACTGAAATGCCGACTTTCCTCTTTAGGTCTGCTGTACTATGCTGGTCACGGATATGAAAACTATGGAAACAGTTTCATGGTGCCAGTAGATGCTCCAAATCCGTACCGCTCAGCCAACTGTTTGTGTGTGCAGAGCATCCTTAAACTGATGCAGGAAAAGGAGACGGACCTCAATGTTTTTCTGCTGGACATGTGCAGGAAGAGGTGAGTGCTAGAGTCATTCAGAAAAAATCAAGAGAACACAGATCATCACTGTATAACACACAGTCAGTTAAACCTCCGGGGTATCCGTCTGTCCTGCTACAAAGCAGGAAACATTGTGAACCCATTTCAAAAATTGGTTCAAATAAAAGTGATACCAGTGGCACTGAGCAGGTAACAAGAAGACATCGCCCCCAAAAGGAAAGGTTGCACAAGTGGCCGTTACTGACCACTGCTATAACTGCATTGAGGCAACAGTTTTGGTGCTATATAAATAAAATTGAACTGAATTGCTCTCTCCTCGTCCCTCCTGACTGATTCTCTCTAGTTTTGGTGTTTGTTAGTGGCATTGTCACTGCTCATACCATGAGATGGTATCCACAGCCCATTCAGGGTGCACAGGTAGTCCACCTTCTCCAGGATGGCACATCTGCATGTGTCATCACAAGAAGGTTTGCTGTGTCTCCCGACACAGTCTCAAGATTGTGGAGGGTGTAGCAGAAGATTCACACCGAGCACATGTGACAAAGTATCTGGAGACACCTTGGTGAACAATATGCCTGTAACATCATCCAACATGATTTGTTTGTATTGGGTCAGTGTTGGTCTGGGGAGGCATATCCTTTGAAGATCAGACCTAAACATGCTAGCCAGCACTACACTGATTGCTGTTTGGTATGGGGATAAAAGACCATGTGTCAAATTAAGCTACGGACTATCCAGGAGCTCTCGATGTCCTGATCCAGGTCTGTGAGAAGATCAAACAGGATGTAATCCGGCATCTCATTACGAGCATGTACGTCGACCTTCAAGACCCAATGTCTGCTTTGAGTGTTCCTCTAATTTTCTTTGAGCACTGCATATATTCAGTTTTCTTTAAGAAAAGGACAGTTAGGAAACTATTGTCTCTCTAGCTTAAAGTTTAGAAAGTATCAAAATTTTACATATTTAATTTCAGGAATATTCACGATGACAGCACTTCAAACGTCGTCCTGAGGGTTACCGCCAACATTGTCTTTGGATATGCTACGTAAGTCCATAAATTAACTTCATACATGGTTTTGGTTTCCCAGATATGAAATGTTGAATTATTTGTTTGGCTGTTCAGGTGCCAAGATGCAGAGGCCTTTGAGCTAAGCTCCACCGGCTTCACCAACGGTGTGTTTGTCAAGTTTCTGAAGAAGCGCCTGCTGGATGACGAGAAGATCACTGTGGTGCTGGACAGAGTCGCCGAGGGTAAGAAACAACACAAAAATACAGCATATGCTAACATCAGAGACAATGTAGGAAGCACTTAGTTAAAAGATGATCAGCAGAGCATTTTGAATCCTTTGGCAAAATTAAAATTAAATTGCATTTCAGTTACTGTGTTTCCTGCAGGATGTGTTTCAGCGGTCAGTTTGATGAAAAGAATAAAACAATTTAATTAAACGTATTCTGCTTTCCATTATTCTTCCATGCTTGTTGGCTAATGGAGTTTCCTTCAAGGACCCACAAGTTTATGATCCATTAGCTTTTGTTAAATTAAAAATCCAATGCCTCTCAACTCCCAATGCAATGTTTTTAATCTGATTACGTTTCAGGTCATGTAAGGATGTTTTGGCTTTTTGTGTTATAATAACTGCATACTGTCTGATTTATGTTTTGCGCACAGATATGGGCCAGTTTGACGCTACAAAGGGGAAGCAGGCTCTGGAGATCCGCAGCAGTCTGTCGGAGAGGAGAGCGCTGACGGATCCTATTTTGCCCGGAGACAGCGCTGATCTCGCTCATGCCCACAGCCGACAGTGGGCAAAAGCTCACGGTGAGTTTAGTACTAGAGATTTAAAGCATTTTTTTATATGTTATCTCTGCTTGGAAAAACCCTGTTTGCCTATGGCAGCTCAGAACTGGAGGCTCAGTCAGATTTTTACATCCATCCATCCATCCATCCATCTTCATCCGCTTTGTCCGGGGCCGGGTCGCGGGGGCAGCAGCCTAAGCAAAGAGGCCCAGACCTCCCTCTCCCCAGCCACCTCCTCCAGCTTATCCGGGGGAATACCAAGGCGTTCCCAGGCCAGCCGAGAGATATAATCTCTCTAGCGTGTCCTGGGTCTGCCCCGTGGCCTCCTTCCGGTGGGACATGCCTGGAACACCTCACCCAGGAGGTGCCCAGGAGGTGTACGTTTACAAATGGTGAAAAAGTGCTCAGCTTATACTGGTAGAAACTTGGTCAAGGGGCAACAATCAGTAGAGTGAGAGACGCACCCTGTAACAGCCACGGTGCCTCTTCTAGTATTTGCCCCTACAGTGGAGAAGTCATTCGCTCTTACTGTTGTAAATCTTGCTTTCACAGTGTCTGAGGGGGACCCAGTTCCTCTAAATATTGTCCCAACCTGTTAGGTTTCTCACTTTAAATGCTGCTTTTTCTTTCGTGCCTGTTTTATTTGTGGCATTTGAGAGAGAAGCAGTGAAAGCATTCAGTATTTTACAAACTAAGACATTTTTTGGTGAATGAGTGATATATATTTGACATATTGTTGTGTTAGTCATTATTTAGTTGTACTAAAAGGACTGTAATGCATATTTAGCATTTTTCTTTCAATTCTTTTAGGCACAAGGGCAATGTAAAAACAAAAAACTATTCACACACACACATGATTAATAATAATAAAGCTGTTATTATTAATCTTTGGGACATGGGAGTCAAAGTTTTTCAGTTTTCATTTTAAGTAAATGGTTACAGGTGGACTTTCGGTCAAATGTATGCAAACTTAAATGTATGTGAGTCTAAATTCGTCTCTGTATTTTACTGCAGAACTTCCTGAGAGTATGTGTCTCAACTTTGACTGCGGCGCTCAGATTAAGTTGGGCTTCGCTGCGGAGTTCTCCAATGTGCTCGTGATTTACACTCACATCGTTAAGAAACCTACAGACATGTCCTTCTGTCAAGCACACGTCACTGACTTCTCACAGGTATGCTCTCATGAATCTGAAAGCAGAACATACATTTGTATCTGTCTATCACTAAGCAGTGAAGGAGAAGTTACACCATAAGTGTCTGTAAATATGCAACTTTTTCTGTTTGTGAAAACTCCCTTAGGACCTTGATGTAGATCCTAAATTGATGAATAGAGAAACTCCAGAAGAGACAGGGATCTACCTCCTGTCCAGCAGTCTGCCGCAACACTGTCTCTACACCAGACTCAGCTCACTGCAGAAGCTTAGGGTAAGAATTATAAATATTTACAGTATATCGCTTAGTGTGCTAGATTTCGGAGCTGGACCTAACTGGAGGAAATATAGAGTGCTGGATCCAGCTAACATCATGGTTAATTTGAGGTCTGAGACTGGTGAGCTGATCGGAGCGTAGTGGGATGTGTTTCATGGAGTTTTAACTATACTCGCACTTCCCAGGCCACAGTGTGAATGTAACTGGCTTTTTTCTGGTTGATGGATAAGTTGATCTGAGGAGTAGGAATAGATGTGGAGATATTACACAAAGGGTGGAGCAATCCCTAACGTGTGTCTGGATATTAAGCTACCAGCTGTGGAGTGCATTCATGTTACTTGCTGAGGGAATTATATCCTTTCAATCCTGTTGCTGTTTGAATTCAGCTTGAATTTAGTTTGAATGAGTACACATTTGCTATTCTTTCCATCAGAGGTCATCCAAATGAATAACTGTGATGAATGTTTATGGAAAATTAATGATTTCTCCTGACCACCTTCTGCACCACTTAATGGATAGGCAGAGAAGCTTTGTATAACATCTGTAACATCTGCTCCGCTGCTACATCGACATCTGCGGATAATCTTTACTCTTCAGCTATAAAAGATGATGGTTAATGGTCAGGGTCACAACATGTTGATGTCAGAGATCAACGAATGTAAAAATCAAATTCGTTGAAAATCAAATAGGATTTTCACATGTGGATCTTCTAAGAGGCTGAGAGGCATTATGAAATGCTGTATTTGTATAGCGCTTTACACATTCAGTCACCCACCCATTCACACACTGGTGATGGCAAGCTACATGTAGCCACAGCCACCCCAGATTATGATTTATTAAGATCTTCTCCTCTTGCTAATCCTCGCTAATCTCTGATCTAATAGATATAGTGATGTTTGCGTGTGTAAAGGAAAAGTCATTAAACTTTTCCTCTTGTATAGATAAACTATTGAATAGTTGACACATAGAAAACTTATAGGATCACTGGAAGTAGGAGGATTTACCTGGTCACCATAAAGTTTATTCACAGTTGTTAAGATGATTTATAATTCAGAAATTATTTGATGTGGTTTCATTTTGTGCTACAACAGCTTTGAGTGTAGATTAATACAACTTTTTGTGTGCTAACACCTCATGCAACAGGAGGAGCTGGTCTTCACCGTGTGCCTTCAGGGAACCTTCACTGCTATGGACGACGATCATCCGATCCACTGGACGAAAAGCGTCAACATTGGAAAGCCGCTGATAGCCCGACTGGATCTCCACCGGGCCATGCGGCGAAACAGCTGCCTGCAGACCTGCCTGATGCCCCACAGTCCATCCCACAGCCCCTGTCACAGCCCTGGACCCGAACACCGCCACCACCTCTATCACGGGTCACACCAGGCCCAGGACTACAACCGCCTCTCCCCGCAGCATCGCTATTTGGACATCGGTGAGCATCTGCAGGGCGCAGTTGGAGGCTGCGGGGATATCTACTATGAAAATCTCAGCCAGTGTCGCTATGACCCACCGTACACCTCCGGTGGGCTTTCGAGCTCACCAGGCAGGCTCAGCATTCCCATAGAGACCACAGACGACATCAACGAGCTGCAGACTGTGTTCATCAACAGTCTGCAGCTACAGCCACAGTGAGACAGAATAGAAGCTTTAAATGTCTGTAGTTCTGAATCTATATTACTGCTGCTCTTGTTGTTACATATTTCAAATGTATATTTTATACATCGGTTGTTTCAGAAAGTGTTATGCTGACCTTTGTAAATCTGTTTTGAGAACTGAAAACATGTATTTGAGTAAACTGACTAATAGGTCCTCATGTAACAGTATTTCAGAGACTTAAAAATAGAGCTGAAACTATTTTTCTTAGCCAGATGCATTTAAACTACAAACTAGGTGGGCATTAAAATAAAAACGGTACATGGTATGCATTTTATCAAATAAACCTGAGAAAAAGAGGTGGTTTACATCCATGTTTGTATTCCTGTATTTATAATTATTACTTATACATTTGTGACTTGGCAGCTTTTTTGTTATTATATATGAAGGTTAAGGGTGGTGCAGTGGTTAGCACTCTTGCCTCACAGCAAAAGTCTTGGGTTTGAATCCACCAGCTGGATGAGGAATTTGTGTGTATTTTTATGTTCTCTCTGCTTTCACTGTGTAAATATATGAATGGGTTAACTGGTGATATATCATTACAGCCATCAAATACTGGTTCAAAAAGTATAATATTATTTTCCTCTGAATTGTAGAAATAGCATAAATTGGAAATAATCTTATAGTGGATCGCCCTTTCCTTATTTTATCTTACATATATACCATTAAAGTATATGGCCGTCATTTATAAAGTGCTTTACAAACCTGAACATTACGGCTAACCCTGGATTTTCCTGTTTGAATGCAACTAGCCAAACAGCGAAGAGCCACTTACTGCTGAAGAGACAGAGTGAAAGTAATCCCATTGTTGCAATGGGAGACAGCACAGATGTGATCAACTTAAACTGAATTTTAGTTTTAGTGACCTTATTTTCCTCTGCGTTATCGATTCTGTCACTAGTTCCGGAACCAACCAACCACACGAGACTTTAACCCCTTAGTTATTAAACCTGGCTTCAGTTTCTGAGAGTAGGGCCCAACAGTGCAGCATTTCTTGTCCCCTTTAGTCATGACTTCTAATTAGTATAGATCACTTTATGTAGAGTGCAACACGTGGTTACAATCAAGTAACTTATTAGAATTTAAATCCATCCATCCATTCATTCACTTCCGCATATCCTTTGCTGGAGTGGAGGGGTGCTGGAGCCAGCTGTCATAGGGCGAGACGCTGGACAAGTCGCCAACAGTGCTAACCACCATGCTAACCACCGTGCTGCTCCAAAATATTCATACTTTTGGAGTGGGAGATCGAGTTCATAAGTAACGTTTACAAGGCGTGTGGCAGGTAGTCACTTGAGTATTGTTTTTAATTTGATTGTGTGTGTTACTGGGAAGTCATATAGGGCTGGTTTACTATAAAACTTGGAGCTGAAAATGAGCCTTAAAGTACCTTAAACATATATTAATGACTCATGTTTGTTAATTTCTACTACTGATCTCTAACAATACACCTGAAATCAAAACAATCAAACCAACAAAAAAAAACAACCCCAAAAATTAGTTACCTATGTTTTTCTGTTTATTTTTATTGACCCCCTCAGGATGGCAGCAGAACACCTCTCTGCTGTCAGCCTCTGTCTCTGAGCCCACTGCTCTCGAACTCACTGCCTTACATTATGAGCCCAGCTTACACCCTTCTATAGCAGAGGACTTTTTTTAGCCTCTGTCTTGTTAATGAACCATGAAACTTTCCAAAAGTGTTCCACTCCAGTGCCTTTCCTGGGATTTCTGCCACTGTTCACATTATCACCCCCAAGTTGGTGTTGCTGCTTTAGGCCTTGGCCTGATGCTGAGACATCACTGGCTGAGGGTTCACACAGTCTGCTGCACAGTTGATTGATATTCGCTAATTAAAAGGCAAGCTTTCCCTATTTTTATCTTTTTCTCATTCCTTGACTGTATAATGCCCTGTGTGAAATAGCGCCCTCCTGAATCTCATGTGGTAAATCAGTGGTGAAACATGGCCTAGCACTCCAGGAAGCCTGGCCCAGGCCCAGTTTGCCTCTCTTAATGAATAAAAATAAATTGTTTGACCAATCAGATCAAGCTAAAGTCACACAACCATTTCGATTCACACCAGTCAATTCATTTTATTCACAGAATAGCTACAATCAGAACAGGAAAAAGGGAATTTTCCACCTACTAAACTAGATTTAAAGAAATAATTTTTTTGTATGTCTGCTCTGCCTTTGCCAATTTTTAGTTTTTAGTATATTGTGCTTAAAGAATTTGTCTTCATCATATTCTCATATATATTGTTGGAGCTGTTCACACACAGTGAACACTGAAAGTGAACATTTCAACATGATCTGAACGCATTAGGAACAAAATCACAGCAACTGATCTGATGTCCACAACAAGGGACAGAAGATAGAAAATAAATAAATTATAGTTTTGAACAAAAAAAAAAGTACTTCAAGTTTCTTTCAACCACAATAAGTTTCTTTCAACCACTAAATATCTAACCATTTCACTTCTTTTGTCTCAATTATATAATTGGTATGTGCTATTACTGAATAAAAAGGAATGCGCTTGTTTCATCTATGAAGACGATGTGCAGTCTGACCAATTTCCTCTGACCTGAATGGGGAGTGCTGATGGAGCTGCATGAGATCAGATCGGATCGATGAGTTTTGATTTCTGCTGCGACATTCAGACAGTAGATGGATGGATGGATATGGATGGATATGGATGGATGGATGGATGGATGATGCTATCATGTCAATATGGACCACAAATATTTCCAGCACCTTGTTGAAAGAATGACACAAAGAAAGCAGTGCTACAGGCAAACACAGTCCAACCTCGCGAAGCACTCGCGAAGAATACCTAAAGAAGTGGCCAGTGAGTGCGTATCAGTTCCTCAACTCCATAATAACACTCGTGCTAGGTGATAGTCCTGATTACTCATTTGCACTTCATCGGACTATGTGTGGCATACAGAATTAGTACCACACTGTGACAGAAACAACTAAACCACAGTCTAGCAATGCAGCCCCATTTCCTTTTTACAATGTATTGGCTGACCTAGTCAAGACTGTTAGTTAAAGAAGCTATCTTTTAAGCCAAACCGGAAATAAAAAGGCAACTGAATATTAATAATGTTAAGGCTGAAACAGATTTAAGAATTAAACATTAAAAAAATGCAGAACAAATTGAGATTGATACCAAAACATGTGAACATTTCTACTGTGGTGAGGAGAAGAATTAGACTATGGGTAACTTTAGAGGTAAACACCACGCTGTGAGAACTAGAGTGAGGCTACTTTTAGTGTTTCACTTGGTATAACTGTGAACAATTGAATAATATTAAATTTATACTCATATCAAGGTAGAACTGTATCATTTCCAGTAACAGAATTGGTACTTTGTTAGTTGCCCCTCTTTGATATTTCATGAGGGGATTCAGCTCATGTGACCTTCTCAAATAACACAACAGGACACCTTGCACGTAGCTGCACAGTAGCAGCCTAGTCAGGCTGGGACAGATTTAACATTTTTATCAAAGTATACACGCAAATACAGATACACATTATTTTAACATTTTCTGTTAATATGCAGTCCTGAAGGGCACCACAAACTGCAGCACAACATCCAGACACGAACCCCATCTGAGTGAATAATGGATGGAGGCAGCCACCCACAGGCTGCAGAGTGATATCATGGCTGCGTCACTTGTGCAGATGAGGGAGAAGGGGTGGGGTGGTTATACCGTGCAGTCTGTAGAGACAGTGAGGAACCTGCTCACAGAGAGGACAGAGGGACGATAACCATGTCAGCCTCCTGGAAGCAGCCGCTTTTTCAGATCTGCCTGCTTTGCGTCTGCTGCAGACACATCAATACAAGTAAATTCATTTTGGGTTTCATTTTTGCTGTGTTTTGTGGTTGTGTTCAAGCTCTGTTCAGCCTTTTCTCTGTTCCACCAAATGGTCCCGTAACCTTGTAAGGGCCAGAACGAAATGTCATAAGATTTTCACATAATTGTGTGCAACATAATTTGGTTTGAAGCATACTGGTAGTGATTGTTTATGATTTTTCACCTTATACATGTGTCTCAAACTGTTTCCCTCAAGACAAATATTTGTAATCATCATAGGATAAAATGTAAAAGGAAAAATCAAAACACTAGGTTACTTAATTATCGTGCTTGCAAAGGATTTTTATATTGATATGATTTTAATTGTCGCCTCATTATGCTTCATTCTGCGATTGTGCATGTGTGTTAGTTTAAGAACTATATAACAGACAAAAAGATAAAACCTTAAAGTTACTCAGTGCTTATTTCTTTTTTTTTTTGTCTGAATACATTTTAATCCCAATCTTATGATATTTATGTAATTATTTAAGAAAACATCTCTTTGAAAAGATGATGAAGGAAACAACCTTGTTGCCGTTATGTAGAGGACACTTTTCACAGACAGTTACGAGCTGTTTCACACGGCAGCAAAGTAGCAACACTGATATCTGCCTTAAAATCACCTTAAAATATTGGTATAAATAATATTGTACCTTTTGAATTATTTTACACACAGTAAAAGACTCTGTATATTTATACATTTACTTCTTTTCCTGTCAGACACGTTGGGCTCAACCAAAGCGCCACAGGTTCCCACCACTGCTCTTAAAACAACTGTAAAAAGTGTTGTTCTTAAAGGTAATTTCTGCATGTTGTGTTTCCTTATTACTGCTCATGTAAATATGGCTAAAGAACACATGTTGATAAGTTATTTATCTTGTAAAATATTGTGCTATGACAAAGATGTAAGGATTTCCATGTTGTTGTGACCACGTGGAGCTGGATTTAAATCAGAGCCTGATTTTGCCTTTAGTGTGTGTGTGTGTGTGTGTGTGTGTGTGTGTGTGTGTGTGTGTGTGTGTGTGTGTGTGTGTTTCTAACTGTTCCACAAAACTCCACACAGGTGAAAATCACACAGAGGAAATCCAGCTGCATGAGCCTGTAAATCTAACGCTAGCCTGTACGTGGACTGGGAATCAGAAGAAACTACCAAACATTAGCGTTTATTGGACAAAAGATGGGAAGACGATTCAGGACAGTGAGCGCTCTGTGCAGCTGGAGAATGAGCAGTATACTCTCAAACAAGAGTAAGTACTTCATGTGCATATTTTATCTGACAGCTTTAGAAAATCCACTTTGCAGTTCCCCTCCGAGTGGCTCAAAAACTGTTACAACGTTTTATCAAAAGACCTGAATATATCAAAGGTTTTAAATAGAACTGCAGTGTCAGCTCATGCCTGTCCATGTCAGCTGTAACTATCTTTACATGAAAGTAGGGCAACAGTTTAGTTAAAATAATCAGATAGTTGGAGGACAGGAGCATTTGATTTATTATGTTAATATCTAAAACCCCTCTTTGACTTCTGCTTTACAGTTTCCATATTGTCAGTGAACAAGACCTTGGAAGTTACTCCTGTGTTTTTGGGACTGAAGCACAAATAGATTTTATTTTGGCAGGTAAGGAAATAAACAATGAATCTCTGCAAGACATTTCACAGCTTCATTTGTTTTGCTATCAGCTGCTCAAGTCCCTGCTCAAGCTATTTATAGTGAATATCAATATATAACACTCGACTGAGGCTGTGCAGTGCTGCTATGTCTTCATAAGCATCATCATCTCAGTCGTTTTCCTCCAGCTCCACAGATCAGTGAGGTGCGAGACAAGCCGATAGTCAGCTATCTGGGGGACTTTGTGGTGATTTATTGTAAAATGGAGGAAACCAAACCAGAGCCCAGAACCTGGACCTGGTATAAAGTCAATGGGACAGAAAAGGTAAGCTGCTCAGAGCCGGTACAGTTGTGTCACTGATCATTTTTAATTGACATTCCTTCAAGTAGGATCTCTTATGTTCATCTCCCATGTTTTTATTCTCAAGAATATTCTTAAAGAGCAGCTTTGCATGTTACACATCTTGAATTATCCTTATTTATCTTAATTATCTTATACCAAACAAAGTGTCTACTTTTAACAGCTCCTCATATTTTGTGAAAGTCGAAGTAAACCTTTTCATTACTGTTCATAGGTGGATGGTTTATCCTTTTATCCATATTCCTCATGTTTGGTCTTTTTCTGCATAAGATCCTATAAATGAACATGAGCAGGCATTAAAGCACAGTGGTGGGAAACATTAGAGCTTGTACTTATGATAAATTACCTGTATTTATGACACAATACATGCGTTTCCAGAATGTGCTGGGGCAGTGAGGGAAATATGTGCAAGTGTGCATACTTTTTAAAGCTTGTCATGCTTTATATTATGCATGCTAAATACACATTTCCAGTATCTAGTAGTTATAGCTGTTTGTAATGGGATAACAAGTTCAGCATTACTGATATTTAATTGTGCCTGTAATGTGATGCAGTATTAGTTTAAGATAATAGATGCAATGGATAACATCCCAATGGACTGGGGTCTTCTTTTAACTTGATTTATTTATCTGATTTTTTGTTGTGTGGGTCATTTTATTTTTTTAAGTGGAAAAAATAAAAAGCAAAAACCTACAACGCTCCTGTTGGGAGGCAGGTTGGGTGTCAAATGGGATCATAGCACAGCTTCGTGAATCTTTCCTTTTAATTCTCCTTCTTTTCCCTCATTTGGCTTCAAAGACATTTAAATTTGTTGTTGTTACTGTGTCGTTCAGCAAAATCCAAACGGTGTCATGTTAACGTATGTTGATATATATGGGAACAGATCCTCATTGTTGAAGAGCCTCAGCGCTATGAAATCCACAATGAAGGGTGGAAGACGAAGCTGAAGATCAGCAACCTGACAGATGAAGACTCTGGCTCCTATTACTGTGGGGCGGTGTACCGCGTCGGCACCTCAGTGAGCCATGTGGAGCTCAAGGTCAGTAAACCTTGTGGAGCTGTCAGTAAACAAAAGGAACTCTGTACCTGTACAGCCCCCGAGCAGTTTGTAATTCAGACCCGGGATTTATTATTAGTTTGATAATAAATAAATAAATGTCTCTCTTTGCATCCCATTTTTTTTAAAAACTCACTGGTTACTGCTTTTGTAAAATAAAAAAAATATGCTATTAATCATGGCCTGTCATGATTGGTCTGGTGAACCACTGAGAGCCCAACTCCACAGGCTTCAAACTACAAAAACTACTCAAACATATAAAGCTTTTAAAACTACTCGGCAGAATAGACACCGAGTGCAGTCTACTAATCCCATAAGATAAAACATCTGTACTTCTTTCCTGTGGATGTGACTGAAAACAGTAGGAGTAGTGATATATAATATTTCCTCTTTCCGTACTGAAGATTATCAGCTTCATTGAGCCCCTGAAACCCTTCTTAACCATCCTGGCTGAAGTTATCGTGCTGGTCACTGCCATCCTGCTCTACGAGAAAATTCATTCCAGGAAGAACAACACAGAAGAGGGTAGATAAACATCATCCAGCTCTTATTTGTATCACTATCATATACTTTTTGCAACATTTTATGACAAAGCTTATTTTTAACTTGTATTTATCGGTCTCATTCTCAGAAAATCTGCCGAACGGCAACCAAAAGAACGAGCTGTGAGTACAATGACGCAGTATTTCTTTTAAGATACTTGCAGATTTCATAATCCAAGAATGACTTCTTTTTTTTCTGCCAGGCCTCAGGAAGAAGCTAAGGAGCTGGAGGGTAATACGTCCATGAGGCAGCGCAAAGTTTAAAGACTGCAGCCAGCTTTAAAACTCATTTTTAAAAGTGAACGCTAGCAACATTTATACGGTTATTGTGGCATCTGTTATAACTGCATCACTTTGTTTCAACACTCAGAGTGCAACAGCTTCCAGCTAATCAACACTCGAGTTTGCAACACAAGGGGCCTCTTTCCTTTCCTGTTTACTTCCTGTGCGGAAACCCAGACACGCTTCTCTTGACACATCACGTCATCTTTGTCCCCTCCCCTTTCTCTTCTTGTTGGCAACACCGTAAACTTCAAATGACTTTAACCCGTTTTTCTTCTCTGTGGTTCGTAGCAGTGCCTTACACTCTTTGACTAACCTTTCACTGTGCTTCCAATGACTTTTGTCCTTGCAGTAATCTATCTACAGTACTTGAATAACATGTAAATCAAAATATAACTTCACATATTCATCATATTTGTGCATCTGTTTTGCGTTTACGTGTAGGAGAAGAGTCACAGAGTCATAGTTTCTTCCCCAAAAATGACTGCACCGTATACAAACAAGCCGATTAAAAACTACACAAACCACCGTTTCAGTGTTGGATTCATTTGAAACTTATTTCCGAGCACTAAAGAAACACTTCAAAAATGTGTCTGTTAACACGTCAGCAGAGCAGTCAACAGAAAAATACGTTTAGGATGGATTAAGCAACAATAACAAGAGTCAGTTTTGAAAATCCGCCATTTATTATTTTTTCTATAAATACAGTGGATGTTTTTGTCCTGAATAACCTTTGCACTTCCTCTTCCCCACGGAGAAAAGCTAAGCTATACCACGACACACAATCGTGTAGACCGTTGTAGCTGTGACCACAGCGAGAGGCGACACACCCACAGCTGCGACTGTCAGAAACAAATCTGTATCACTGCATTTAGAAAGTAAACTAGAGCGGCTCGTTCCTCAGCCTGTGTGAGACATGCTGAGTTTGGCTGGAGTTAATGAATTTACTTAAACGTGTTGAAGCTACTATATTTCTGAACTCTTGTTGTGTGCCGCCAACACGTCTGTCGCAGAAGCAGCCCAGGCTGAGATGACGGGAGTCAGAAATATGTATTCACACAACAGATTCGCCCAAGATGCTACAGATATTTGTTAAATTATTGCTTCTTTCTATGCTTCCCTTAACTCTCAGTTCATAATACCCAACACACACGCAAATTTCCATTGTGATCTTTCAGGCCTCTGTAATAATCAGGGATGTGTACACAGTATTTTTTCAGTACTTACTTTCACAGGAATACAGATTCTTCTTTTTTCAACATTACATTTCATACAAACTGGCAAACTTCACTCCCATCTTGCTCTTTAGAGAACAAAAAACACAAGTGAAATCTGCCTAAAGATTTCCACCCCTTCCCTTACAATCCAACTACGGCTGATTCATGAAGAATTGAACCAGAAGCTTGACGACGCCGTCGTTCAGTCCCACCACCTCTCCGTCCTGCACGCTCTCGTACAGTCGCAGGCTCTCTGTGCCCCACAGGAGGTTTTTCCTGGGGTTGTTGGTGTCAGTCTCCACAGAGAGAGCAACTGTGTTCAGCTGGTAGCAGAAGAAGGAGAAGAAGTGGCCGTCTGTGATCACGGCCTGGGACACGAAGGGTCTGGTGACATCCTCGTAGTTCCAGAAACCTACAGCGGGGAGAGGGAAGCATCAACACGAGCTACGCCTTCTCTCAGATTTAAAGCCAAATGTAGACACTGCAGTAATCCCATATTCCTGTATCAGCGCTATTCCTGCAGCATCATAGCACTGCCAGGCTAATAAAAAGCAAAACAACGCTCACTGCCACTTCATTAGGTACACTTGGCTACTAAGTGGATGATCGCCTTTCGTCTTACGTCTTCATTGCATAGATTCATCGAGGTTCTGGAAACATTTCTCAGATTGGTCAATAGTGACACGACTGCACAACTGTTACTGCACATTTGTCAGCTGCACATCCATGATGTAAATCTTCCGTTCAAACACATCCAAATGGTTCTCTATTGAATTGATATCTGGTGACTGTGGAGGCCATTTGAGTACAGAGAACTCATTTTCATGTTCAAGAAACCGGTTTGAGATGATTTAAGCTTCGTGATGGGAAGCAGCCATCAGAAGATGGGTACACTGTGGTCATAACGGGATGGACACGTCCAGCAATACTCAGGCAGGCTGTGATTTTTAAAGGATGCTCAAATGGTACCAAAAGAAGCAAAGTGTGCCATTAAAATATCCCCCACATCATTAAACTACCACCACTACCAGGCTCAACCGTTAATGCAGAGTGGGATGGATCCATGCTTTTATATTGTTTATGTTGTACTCTACCACCTGAATGTCACAGCAGAGTTCAAGACTGATGGATTTTGAGTTACTGTTGCAACTGAAACAGTCTGACCAATCTCCTCCTGCCTCAGCCAGCTGCTCACTGGAATTTTCTTTGTAGATCATCAGTTTCTGAAATACTAAGACCAGGCTGAAGGAAATAGTTACGCCAGAATCCTTCGTATTAAGAAATGCTAAAGACTTTGGGTTGACTTAAGAATTTCAGAAGTTTCCGGTGTATGAGGAACAACGAACGACACCATGCCCATTCAAAGGCACTTAAACCACCTTTCTTCCTCATTTTGATGCTTGGTTTGAACTTTAGCAGCTCTTGACCGCATCTTCATGCCTAAATGCACTGAAATGCTGCCGAGATGCTGATAGATATTATTGTGTGGCTGGTGAGTGTGTGACCTTTTTAGAAAATGTTTAGAAACCAACTTGAACATAAAGAAAAAGCTTTTCATGATGACATTTGCTCTGTTAACTTTCTGACACGTCTTTAAATCTCTTCCGCGAACAAAGTAAATCAACTACATGAAGACATAAATATGTATTGTAATGTTTTATAAACACAGCATCTCAGTTCTGTTGCACCTTTGCTGTGTTAGGAACTCACCTTGGTACATGGCCTGAGCTCCTGTCCAGGCGAAGAGGCTGGCGAGCGCATTGGCTCTGAGGAAAACCTCCACTTGGTCAGCCTGCTGCTGCCGAACCATCCGGTCTCTGTGGTATCGGTCGGGCACCAGGTGGAACTGAGTGTGACCGTAGCACGCTGGGTCTGGTAGCTTTGCACCTTTAAATGAAACAGAGAGGCTTGTTATAAACAGAAAGTAGAGGGGATTCATAAAGAAAAAAAATGAGCCAAACACTGGGTAACCTCTGTGATAATGAAAACTTCAAATATAAAACCACCTGCAGCTACATTATTATCATACTTTGCTATAGAAGCAGAAAGATTAAAAACAAGCAAGGTTGGGGTTAAAATAATTGTTCCCAAAAAACAATCTATACCTTTTACTAAATACCAGTTAGTTCCACATTGGCGCCCCCTGCTGACCATTACGATAAGTAAATAATGAGAAAAATCAACGTGATGACCTGTTAGTGAGACCAGAATTACAATTTGGGAACGAATCAGTTTGCCTTTGGGACAGTGGCCAGTTTTTGGGGCTCTGGGTTAAGGCAGTATATATATTTTCTACCTCCTTTGCTCCCTACACGGACTGTTTTACTGAGCTTGCAACTAAAATCTGTTCAAACATGACTGATCGATAGAATCAGATATATTATAATAAAGGGAGACGGGACATTCAAAGAATCCTGAAATAAGATTTATGGGAGATCTCCGTGGCAGCAAAGATGGTGGCAGGAGTGATAAAAAAAAAACTATAGGAAAAAAAAAGAAAAACAGCTTTTCAAAGTCTGATTTTAGGGCAAAGTCAGCAAACTTAAAGTAGTTTTGATTCGATTTGAAACACAGTGTCCACAGGGCTTTTTGCTAAAACATAGTGGTGCTGTGGCCGTGTGTCATCAGATTAGCAGGATTAAAAAAATGTGATCATGTTTACTAACCAGGAACATGTACTCACTAGACTGAAAAACATGTCTAGAACCACCTAGCACAGCCTGCATGACCCACATCATTGTTTCACCTGTGAAGATGTTGTTGTCGTACTGTCTTCTGAACAGCGGCATCACATTGGGACGAAGCGTGATCTCTGGAACTTCAGCTGCATGGGAGGCTTCCAGCGGCATAAACTAAAAGTACATAAGATTTGAAAAAGTAATTTGATCAAATTATCTTGCAAGCCCAACTTGCAAGATAGGCGGTCTAGAGCCCATGGGCCCATTCAGTCTCCCCCAAACTCCCCCTTGTGGTAATAATGTTGAATATATACACAAATAACTGCAGAACTCTGAGTGAAGTCCATTGAGTATTTGACAAGATCAGAAAATTGCTATATAACTGCAGAAAAAGCGATGCTTTAAATGTGTGAATCTGGATTAAAACCTTTTAACACTGCGATGAGACGCAATATAATAAAGTAGAATTAAATATATAATGACAACATCACTGAAAAACATTTTAAGTGGTTTGTGTGATTTCCCCCCACTATGCAAGGCCTACAAAAACCCTTCCTGTGCATCTATTGCTATTACATGATCCATGTGGTCTGAAAAGGACGCCTACCTGAGGTAACTGTTGGGTTACTCTGATCTGACTGTGTGGGCGGTCGTCGATCTGGAACCTGGTTGGCTCGAGACGGCGTTTCCGATGTCCCTTTGGGATAATTCTCTGACCCCTCCTCCAATAAAAGTTCACCTGGGGACTGAGATCTAAGAAAACAAATATAGATCAACATTAGAGGACTAGGATCGTTAAGTAGAAAAACATGGCACTCATACTTCATGCTATCTGGAACTCCTTGTCTTTTTGTTTTGAGCAATAAAACTTGTTAATATCTTCGTATTATTTTGGCAATAGTCATAAGATTATTATAATAAAAGCTGGACTTTTGTGATATGATAAGTTTCAGATTTTAATGGGCCACTCTAGTCGAGTTTTGTTTTTGCCCGAAACAACAAATCTACTTGGAACGTTTGTTGCTATATAAGTCTGTGTTGTTCACTATGAATGCCTTTATTTTCCTGAAGGTATCCACACCACTAATTACAGCGTCTTTAGTTCCACTTCATCATACACACCCAGACTGGAAAGCTGCAGCAGTGGGTTGTATTTAGCCAAACTGTAGGTGAGTCCAGACACCAGGCTCCTCAGAAAAGGTCCGACCACCTGCTCTTGGTGTCTGTACATGAAAGGCTCGCGTTTCCTAAATTGCCAGTGCTCTTGCAGGATCACACGGGTCACCAAGGAGCGTATGTCCGCGAACGCATCATCGTCGATTCCTGGAACCGCGGCTGTGGTCTTCTCCAAGCCCGGGGTGAATTTCTCGGGCAGGCCCGGGATGTACGCGGTTTTAGTGAAGTGCTGGTACCATCTGTCTGCGTTCCGTGCGAAAGTTTGAGGGTAAACTACAAATTTCTCCCGCTGGATGCGAGTGATGAGGGCCAGCTTGTCCTCCACGGAGGAGGTGCATATCTTCTTCACCCGTTCCTCAATCTGTCGCCGCCGCGCAGATTTACTTTTAGCCGTTAGAGAGGGGACTATTGGAGGGTACGCTGGCTCCTTGACCGAAACGTCAGTGTGGACAAGCTTTTGGCTTCTAAAAGGAAACAAGTTTCTGGGGAACAGCAAGGGTAGCCGTGTGCGGGCCGCCATGTTTGCTTAACTTCTTCACTTTTCGTTGACACACAAACTAACAGTCTTTCAGAGCAGCGCCCCCTTGCGGAAAAAAGAGCCAGACTGAATGCTAACGCCTACATAAAGTAATATAAGTCAAAACTTAGACCGGTATTAAAGAACATTACATTTAATTTTATTTACTTGTGGCAGTGGTCTTGTAATTTAATAAAATGGTCGTGTAATTTAATAAAGCTTAGCTTGTATTAGCATTACGTTTAGCCTCTGAGAACGTTGAGGGTCTTGAATGAAGCCCTGTCGCGTAAACGATGGTGCATTTACGTTGACTCAGAAATTTCGGAATTTGTAGTTGAACGGGCTAAAAACGTGGGTACAAATCTAAAACGTTCGCTAAACTTTGAAACCAAAATCATTCAAAACTATAGCAAAAAACGTCATACTCGTGTTACACTGTGTATTTTCTATGTAGCTTATTGTAAACGGTGGCAGACGCTAGCAGAGATTTGATGCAGCATGAACAATCCAAACGGTAGGGGAGTACCCGAAGGCTACGTCAAAGTTGGACTTTTAAGACGGTGCAACGGCTCTGGTGAGGTGCAGTGTTTTTGTCAATAAACAGGCTGTTCGGCCTTTAAAAATATATAGACACAAAATTATTTGCACCAAAACTGTAAAAGCCAGCTATGTACTGTCGTCAGATTTTGCGGACACCATTGTTCGGGACAAGAGCGGCTAAGCTCAGCCGTTTCCCCCATGTTTGTCGAAGCGAGGTATCTGCTATCAAAATAAACCGTCCTGTTGTCATTCTTGTCAACATATTCCTTTCATTAGCTGCTGCACAGCATGTTGACAATACCTGTCCTACTGGTGGTGGCTGTGGTGAACCTGCAGTGCCCCACCACCACCAAGAGGTTTGGTTTCATTGCGACACGTACTTAAAGCAGCTTTTTGATTTTCCCATGTGTGATGCATGCCTGTTGTTCACCCCCAGAGACCCCTGTGCACCAAAAGTGACGAGGTGAGGCTGGCAGAGGAAGCCAGCAAGAAGTACGGCTCCCCAGTTCCAACCATCTTCTCCAAAGTGATCGACAAAAGCATCCCTGCAGATATCATTTATGAGGATGAAAAGGTAAGCACAGTCTGAGCTCATAAATAAACATTTTGTGGTTACATTTCTGCAGTTCAGTTCTTCATATATAAGATTTTTTTTTCTGTGTTTATCAGTGTTTGGCATTCAGGGATATCAGTCCACAGGCGCCTGTTCACTTCCTGGTTATTCCAAGGATTCCTATTCCCAGAATAAGTGAGGCCAAAGATGATGACGCTGAGGTAAACTGGTGTTTTCCTGTCTAGACTCTCAGATCATGTCACAAGCAGTGAGATTGTGCAGCACATGCTCCCTTTTTATAAGTCTATGTTTTTTACTATTTGACATGTCTGTGAGATTAATTTCTAGAGCATTTAAGAACCAGCTCACCCCAAACTGTTGTCACAGCACTGGAAGAAATCTATAGGTGAAGCACTAAAGGCGCTACCTTTCCCTCATTTGAAACCAGTACTACCCAGAGTGTAGCCTTAAACCAGGGTCTTGGACCAAAGAGCAGGTTAAATATGCCCAGATGTTCTTTTGTTTTCTGGCTTTCCTAATGTAACAACCAGTATGAGTGTTTTTGCATTGAATGGGCAGTGTTGACATCAAATAACCAGCAACAAATGTGGGCTGGTCTGCAGCCTCATATTTCCCACAAGGGAAGCAACCTATAATCCTAAATAGATATCAGGTAAATAAAATAATATAGCAGGGAAGTTGTAAAGGAGTCGAGCCGTCCAGATTAAAATTCAAACACAGATTAGATAGATATACAGACAGATATTACTGTTGTTATCTAGATTCCCTTGTTTAACAGTCTAAGAATAAAGAAGAAATCTAAAAACAGAAGGCGTATACTACTTTTAAATCAGATTAAAAAAAAAAAATCAACAAGCACAAATATGTGTTCTGTTTTAGGATTTGATAGTAACACTTATAGAGCAATAACATTGTTGTAAAATTGGAAAAAGAAAACAAATCAACAAATAGTTTCTTGTATGAATCTGTTGTTATTATTGGTGGTCATTACCAAAAGAGAAAGACTTCAGACAATATTTAAAAAAAACTTTAAAACCTCCTACTGTACGTGCACAGACGTCTGAGGAATCCTTCACGAAAGGTGACGCTATTTCCTGGAGATCTGAGTGGTCAGTAGGCGTTGATTTCATACCTGATGATTACTGATCTGGAACGTAACTTGCTCTAGTCCAGATTAGTATCACAGCAAGTTACCATGTTAGAAGTAGTTCAGAAATCCCAGGATCAGTCCCGAAGTTAGCTGGATGAGCCTGCTGTAGGTCTCACATCCAGTTTGGTCTCCTCTGTGACCGGACACACTAAATATTAATTTTTAAGAAGTCATAACTGCTTCATTTACAGCTCACTGTCGACTGGAAATAATCTCTTCAGCTCTCCTTTTCTCCACTTTCAGCTCTTAGGACATTTATTGGTTGTTGCCAAAAATGTGGCAAAGCAAGAATCTCTGACTGAAGGGTACAGAGTGGGTAAGTTAGACCATTTTACCGAAATGATTCTCCAGACATTAATGTGACTATACAGACTGTTTGTTTACATCCACACTGAATTCCCAGTGATCAACGACGGGAAGCACGGTGCTCAGTCCGTCTACCACCTTCACATCCACGTCCTGGGAGGAAGACAGATGAAATGGCCACCAGGATAAGGGCTTCACATTTACTGTGGTGTCTCAGTTTAATCCAATAATAATGGCATAATACCTGTTTATACACAAAGCTGATGTCAATGTAAATATGTTGGAAAAAAATGTGTGAAAAGGAAAAGTCAGAAGTTGATGCAAATAAAGACACATTCTGTTATGGAATAATAAAGCTCAAGTCAGTTCTTTAATCTCTAATCAAGTCAGGATACTGTTACCATGGTAGCAGCTCACATTTAAGAGCAAAGATTCAAAACAACGAGGTCAGATATGTGCGAGTAATCCCTCATGCTTCACTCTGCCCAGAAACACTCAGCTTCAGGCAGTTTATTCCTTCACCCACCTGCTCTTCAAACCTTCTCAACAGCTCATTTCAGAGAGCAAATGAACTGAGGAGCTACGCCCAAGCCCAGGATAAGATTAATTATATAATGTTATACTAATGCTTTAACAGCAATGAAGTGTTTGAGGTTGCCATGCTGTGGAAAATCCTCCTCCTCCTGCAACCCCCCACAGGATAGTGTAACCTCAGGAACGGAGCTGCAAATATATATGTGTGATATAAGCATATATTAACTAATAAACCTAGACAGTAAATACAAGTGACCTGCCCAGACTGTACTCAACACCTTTTAAACTTGTATTTGTTTTCTTTTAAAACACTTGAGTTCTTTTTATATTTGCTTTCTTATGTGTGGGCCCTTTGATTTGACACCCTGTAGGGGTTAAATGTTTTGCTCCTAGAACGAACTTGCTGTATTGCTGTAAAGCACTAATAAGTAGTAAGCTTTCCGTAGTTGTTAATAAGGAAGAAACCTTTAAAACTGCAAAAAGTTTGACGTTTTAAGTATTTTTGTTTCACACTTTGCACTGAACACAAGTCAGCATTGTTCGTCCACTGGAGACGTTTCATAATAGAGAAATGTATATGGTCTATTATGTAATAACCATTACTATCTCTGTGGAGCCTTATCACAAATTGGACTCCGTTTAAAGGGAGGCAGTCTGCAGCTCATTTTTGTGTGTATTTTAGTGTCCGTCTGGTCGGTATGGCTGCTGGCACTGATGAAGCCCCTGATTAATGGTTCAAACACATGGCTTGTGCCCAGACTACCACTGTGAGTCACAGTTGGAGTGGCTATGGTGTGACTAGGTGGTATGATTCAGTGACCTTAGTTCCTGTGAGCAAGGTAACCATGTGTCAAAAGCATAACCTTTCCCCTATATTTGCTTAGAAAACAGTGTTCCCTGCCTTTAATGGCGCAGGGAGGATAGAAGATGGTTAAAAGAGGACTCTGTTAATGATTAAATATTTCTTTTCCATTATCGTTTCTTATTGATTTCTTTTTATATCTCAGAAAAGAACTAAAGAGATTTTTTTTAAAGGAATGCATCCTTTTTTATTGCTGACATCTCCTTTTTCTTGATGTGCCAATAAAGTCAGGTGGGCAAAGATTTGCACAAGTTGTCCTTATGCTGAAAACTTTGTTGTTGTTGTTTTTTGCTAGGTCAAAGTATCGCCTCATAAACCCAGAGAGATATCATCTAGTTTTATCATTTATTTCTATGACCGGCCTCATCCTTCATGTGATAATAACCACCATCACAAGTTTAACTGAGACAATAAACACTTTAATAATACCCCCACCCATCAAAGCTTTGTTATCTTATTGGATGCTTGACACATAATCCTGCAACTGAATATAACCAGTGCCTATAGCTGTTAGAAACTCCAAACAAAGCTACAAGCAGATCTGAAACCCACTGGATTAAACTCACTTCTTTTTAGTGCAAATCCAAACTTTTTTTCAGCCAGTTCTCTTTGTACAGCTCTATCTGGTTGACACAACCTCTGCAGGAGGTGTTGAAAGGATTGTGCAAGTCTCGTGAGACCAAGGAACACGTCAATCTTATCAAAATCCCCTGTGCGTTGATATTTACCCCAGGGGGCAACATCTGTGAACCTGCATTGAGCAAAGGTTGATGCAATTTTGTCTCACACCTGACTGCAGCCTTGACGTTGATGCCACTTGGGTCTGTCAGCAGAGAAGGTAGGATATCATTTCTACAGCAGACATTTCTGTCTTTTGAATGTGTTAAGTGAGAAAAGAATAAACTGCTATTTAGACTGCAGGATGTGCATAAAGATTTATTTTTACTCATAGAAATTCAGACTTGTTTGTGCTGTTTTTTCTATTTTTCCTCACTGGGTATGTACACTGCAGGTTAAACACGGCTCTGGAGATGCATAGTGAATGTGTTAAATCAAACATATGACTGAAACGTAGGAATAGATGTGAGCAGGCACATCCACAGAG